AGCAGTTCCACTCCCACTGCTAGCACTGGGTAAGTATCAGGGCTACTGAGTCATCTTTGTGACTCTCTTGGATGACCCATGGAACATGGGAGGCCCAGAAAGCCCCAGACATTGCAGCCTCGGTCACACCAAGGAAGATGAGCCATGCCCAATCCCTGTTCAACCTGCAGGATTAGGAGCAAATGAAAGGAGCTGGTGTTCAAAGCCAGAGTTTTGAGGTGGCTTGTTATCCACCAGGTGATGCCCTGGGCAGCAACAGCCAACTGAACAGGCTAGGTCTGTGCCCTGACTGCCAGCAAGGAGTGAGGACAGACAGGTCACCTTCAACAGAGAGGCAGCGATGGCTCACAGGAAGTTCCCACAGCAGGGAATCCCCTGGATGGAAGTAAGGGGATAGGACGCAGGGGAGACCAGAAGAAGAAAAAAAAAAAAAAAAAACCCCATTGAACTCAGAACCAGTCCTTGTCTTGTCTGTATTAAATTACATGCCTTTTATATATAGATAGTTCTCCGCAAATATTGGCAATGTGTCTCCTGCCCAAGGATTACACTCTGACTTCCACTCCTTGCCTGTGTCTGGGGGACTTCCTACAAAGCGCTCACTTTGATGGAAACAGTCCTATTCTCTCAACTTCTCCCAGGCCCCGTCAGCCACCACGCTCCTCGGGGCTACCTGCACCCTCCACGTCCTCACTAACCTGTCACTCTGCTATTCCCCTTCCCACTCCACCACTGCCTTCGTGCCTTGTGTGCCTACAGGGAAGAAAATACATTTCAGTGGTATAGAAAAACAATGTACTATTTAAACCAAAAGAAAGCAAAGGAGGAACACAGGAATAACAAGACAAAACAATGAAAATGTGGTCAGGCCAAGACTTGTAGCGGATGTCCACAGCAGCACAGCTCCTAAGAGCCTCAGGAAAGAGGCAGAAGGGGCCATCTAGACAGAGGATGGAAACTCATGGTTGCTTCTGGCTGGGGCTGGGGACACTGACTGATGATGGCCCAGGGACTCTAGAGTGACGAAGGTTCTAGAATCAACTGTGGTGATGCTGTGAATAGACTGAAACCACGGAATTATACTCCAAATAGGTGAAAGGTATAGCATGCGGACTCTATCTCAACAAAGCTGTAAACATTTTAACTAAAAATTTTTAGAGATTCAGCTAAACTCTAAGAGGCTTTCTCTGACATCTCTGGGCACTGCACGCACACGTGCACACACACAGCCCCGCATAACTCCGGATGACACTTCACAGGGTTGTGTAAAATGACTAACAATTTCTCTCTCAGCAGCTCCAAGAACAAAGTTGGCAAGACATTTTAATCAACTGTTCTGCATATACCAAAGCAGACAGCAGTGGACTCCACAGCCTGTGGCTCAGCGCATGGTGCACCTGCCAGGCCCACCCCCAGGACATTCATCAGTCAGTCACTCTGTACATCCCCATGCCCGTCATCCAAGGTCCACAGAGTTCAGGATGGGCAGTCTAAGGTGATATTTAACATTCATGAAAGGCTTTACAAGCAGTAACATTCTAAGCTCTTGGCACAATATAGCTCATTTAATCTGCCAAACCACCCTAAAATCATGCCCATTTTTACAGTGAGAAAAACCAAGATTTCAAGGTAAATATAATTGGTACAAAAGCTAGGAAGTATAAGATAGGATTTCCATCTCAGGTTGCAATCTCCGTCATACTCACTACCCACCTTAGGAAAACAGTATCTCACACCTACCTAAAAATAACCTAACAGAAGCTAAAGCAATGGCATCCTCCTTCTGCAGCTGGGTTGCTGATAAGGTCAAGATCATCTACTTCAGGCTCAATCTCAGTCCTAACCAGGCAGCTCTCCATGTGATCAGCTCTGGTGCTCAGAAATGGAAGACCAGAGGAGCTTTAGAAGAGCTAGCCAGGCGATGCCAGCATCCCCTACATTTGACACTTGTGTTCTCCAGCACTATGGCCACTCACGTGAGGACACTGAGCACTTGGGATGTGGCTGATCCAAAATGAGATGTGACGTGAAATAGACTGTTGTGAGACCTAGTGAGAATTCTCACCTAGTGAAAATTCACCAAGACAGAGAAGCAGCGAAGAAAGAGAATTGGAGGAAGATATGCCATGAAGGTGCAGTGGGACAAAGATGTCTGCCATGGACTTGGGACCTGGGCTGACATTTGCTTCCAAGTTCACTATTCACCTTTGGAGGCTTTCTGTTAGGAATGGCTTTTGCTGAGTGAGAGATGATCGACAGGTTCCTGCGTCTTGCTCGTGATGACCAGGGCGCATGCACCGAATGTTCATTCCCAGGTTTTCATCAGATGCATGAGATGCAGGCAATACTATGAGGTCTTACGTAGGGGGTTTTCCCTTAGTGGTACCTACAGGGAAAACTTGGGAGCCTCTGCACATGCTCCTCAGGATGGTCAGGCAATCTTCTTAGGAAACAGGATCTTGTGATTTAAGGAAACTGGCCCATGTTTTAAATGCCAGCAAGCATTGTGTAAGATGCACAAGGAAATGGGGTGAGAGTCAGAGCAAGGGCCCTGATCTAACCTGCCTTACACTTGATACAAAAAAATATAAAACACTGACTGTTAAAATAGTCATATTTTAGATATTTTGGATTAAATAAAACTTTCAGAGGTTAATTTCACCAGTTTCTTTTCAGTGTGGTGACTAGAAAATTTAAAATCACATTCCTATTGAACAGTGCTACATGAGTGTTCCTCAAGGACTCACAGAGAACAGGAGGCAGTCTGCGGCACAACGGGACAGGGGCCACACCAGCTAAGCTCAGGGGTCAGTGCTCCAGGACCTTCAGGACTCATCAGTGACCAAGGACTGTCTCACCCTCCAGTAAGACCAGCTTCTAAAGTAAAATGTAAATGGATTTCCTGTCCTATGTGAACTCTAGTGTGGGTTCCTTGAATGTGGACATCCGTTTAAGATGTAGACCTCTCTGAACCAGATATAGTGGTGCACACCTATAATCCCAGTGACTCAGGAGGCGACTCAGGCGGGAGGATCACAAGTTCAGGATCTTGCAACATAGCAAGACCCTCTATAAAAAAAAAAAAAAAAAGCTGGGGATGCACCTCAGTGATAAAGTGTCCCTGGCTCCGATCCCCAGCTCCACGGAAGAAAAGTGGGAAGGGTAGAGGAGGGGTAGAAAGAAAACAGGAGACGTAGCTCCTTCTGTCATCAGGGGACACGCACAGATCTTATTGCCCTGTGTTGAACCTGGCAAGAGATGCCACCACGCAGTCCAGAGACAGTGGCTGCCTCCCCCATAGCTGGGGGCTCAACACTGAACTGACTTCATTCATCGGCCTGCTTAACAAGGCCACTGAACCCTGAAGTGCCTCTGGCTTCTGACTCCACTTTATGCTTCCACCTATGGTGCACATTAACCATCATGCCCCACTCCCTCTCGATGCACCACAGCACCACTGGGTATTTACCTGCAGAGGCCCTGGGACACACCTGGGTGCTGGGCTAGAGGAAGTGTTCTGCAGTGCAATCCAGCTACTAAAACAGCACAGGACTGGACCCTGTCAAACACCATCTGATCACAGCTGAGCACGGAGCGAAGGCTGACACAACTCAACCCTACATCAGTTGTGAGGAACGAGAGGCAGCGACCATTCAGGCATTTAAGGTTGCAAGGAAGTGTGCCCGTACCAATGCAATCTGAGGGCAAGAGCCACACTGGAGGACTGGGACCAGGGACCCAACTCACCCAACCCAAGTGCACACGTTAATCAAAAGGGGTGCAGGTCATGCTTATACAATGCTCAGGATCTTCCCTCTGGATCCTGGGAAGACAAGAGCCCCAATAGCTGGGAACTGGTGTGGCCCCAGTCAGAACTTGGTCTGGCACCCACAGCCAACCATGGCGTTCTCCTGCTGGACCTAAGCAATGCCACAGAACACAGACAAGGCCACTGTGGGATATGGTGAAACCAGCCAAGATACTCCCATAATCATGTCAGACAAACAGGAACACCTTTGAGGCCACCAAAAGGACAGACAACTGCTCCTGGGAATCACTGCCAGTTAGGCAGCAGGGAGAAAAGGCCCACTGGCCTTCCTAGAGAAAAGGAAAAAAAAAAAGGCTCTAGTGGAAACCAAGATTAAAGAGACTTAATTCAGACCCGAGTGATTTTCTTCCTTTCATATCTCCCAGAAGCTGGGCAGATTCTTGGGTTACAAACCTTCCCGAAATTCCAGACTTGCCACTAGTCCTCTGGGCCCTCACATTAAAGGCAGGTTCTGATAAATGGTTCCTTTCACCCAATTTACTTTGAGTACAGTTACAGTGAATTATTTCATGGCAGAAACTTCAATCAAAATTTACCTCCAGAGCCGACCGCTGTGCATGTGCCTAAGGTGTGGTGGGTGATTTGTTTTCAAAAGAAATATCTCATGAACATTGAGACCTGCAGTGTGGCCACAGGTATTGAGCACGAGAAGCCCACAGGAAGTTCACATGTGGGGTGGAGGGTGCAGGTGGTTTGGAAACCCAGTTTAGCTCCATTTATTTTTATTCCCAAATTAAATCCATGCCATGAAACCTTTGGATTACTTGGAAACATTGCTCTATCAAGTTTTCTCAGCTAAGATCTAGAGCTCATTTTGTGCAAAAAGTGTCACCAATCCAAAATAGTCTTAATGAGGAATAATGTGCTCCCACCCAACTTCTAACAATGGGTGGGACAGCTGTTTCAAAAACTCTCAGAGTGAAGAAGCCGTGGTCAGTCCTGGCCCTCATTTATTCTTCAGCCTGACTTCGCAGGAATCTAGATGCACACAAAAATGACAGTTACAGAGCTCAAGCCTCAAAACAGAAGGTAAGCTGAGAAGCAGGCTGCTCAAGCACTGTACGAAGAGTCGGCACCAGGGAAAGCAGGCCGCTGGGCAGGAAGACAGCAGGACAGATACCCTCCAGGCCCATGGAGAATCGTCACCAAACTGGCTGCAGCCTTTTCCCACCTGTGAGTTGGACTGTGACCAGTTCACTGCTGATTAGGCAGCAGGGGCGATAAAGGGAAAATCCAGGCTCCCCGTCCTGATGCTTCTTGCCTCTGGGACTGAGGAAGGTTTCACCAGCAGAACACCTGGGAACAAGCACAACTCTGCTCAGCTGTGTGGCCGTCCTGGCATGACACAGAAGGGCTTTAAGTGGATAAGGACTGTGGGATAAACATTTCCTTGGTTGTCAAGCTCTATCAGAATTAAGAGGAAGCATTTACCAAGTCTTTGGCTCAAGATTTCTTGAGTGAATCCCACCCCTTATCTGATACAAACTGAGTGAGAAAATTCCCATTTGTTACAAATTTAATAGTCAAGACCAAGAGTCAAAATGGCACCACACTGGTTTATTTCAACCTTCAAATAACAGAAGAGTTGACAACTTCTGACACAAAACCATGCAAGTAACAAGAGACATTAAAAATATCAACAAAAAGAAAATTAAAAAAAAAAAAAAAAAAACAAGTGCTTCACATTTCACAGCAGTGCATGGGCAACACTGGCACGTGTTTCTGGCCCAGTGCTTCAACAGCAGGGGCTCGGGCAAGCCTCCTTTCACAGCTCTCACTCCTGGTGGCCACACGTCACACTGCTCCACTAACACACTGCGGTAGCCCTGATTACAATGTCACTGGGTATTGTGCGTGATCACCATGAAAACTACCTACAAACCAGACAGTAGCAGGGAGTAAACAGAGTTTCCCATAAGGCATCAGGTCGCTGCTGGCTGGCCCTTCATCTCACAGCGGAAAGGAAAGTTCGGATTTTATTGCTCAGCAAACCCAATACTCAGAAGCTTAACCAGCAGGCTCAAGTCAAAGGTTTCAAAGACAGCCCCACATGTCTCTCTCTTTTTTTTCTTTTTTCTTTTTTGGTAAATATTTGATATAAAACATGAAATTAAGTTCTACTTTATTTTAAAAAATGAACATTTTTAATAGTAAAAATATATATGTTTAAATTTCTCTTTTTAAAAAGATATATATAACAATACTTAAGAAGACTGGATTTAACTGCCCCCACCTCCGCACGGCCAGCCATCCACCCTGGCAGGTACGTTAAGGCAAAGGCTCCAGGAGAGGCATGTCCACCCTGGCGTGGGCTGGACACGGGTGAGCACACTGCTCCTGCAGTGTCAGCAGAAAGGCTTCTCCCTCACGCTCACTGAGCCGTCCTGCATCCCGAAGTAGACTCTCTCAGCCATGTTGATGAACAGCCCTGTGTCCACCACGCCTGCAGGACAATGGACAGAAAGAAACACTAAGGACTGTGTGTGCTCACAATATCCCAGGCAAGAACAGCCCTGGGGACAGAAGGGCACAGAAAGCAAACACCACAAGCAGAGTGGACAAGGATATTAGACTGCCCTACTCTCTAGGGAGACAGTGAGAACACTCTGACCCTTCTCCCCTCCACTGTGGCTTCTTTCTGTGCTCAAATGTGCCCTGGGCCTTTGCTCATGCTGCTCCTCTGCCTGGCTGGTCATTCCTGGTGCTTCCAGGGGCTGCTGCTCTGTGTTCTTCAGATACAGCAGATGCAGGTCCTCCTCTAGAGAAACCCTCCAGACCACCTAAGCAGCCACACTGACTACCAGCACCGTAAGATCTCCTCAGAGTGGGAGGTGACAGCTGCCTGACAAAAGAACCATGTCAAGTTAAGCTGGAAGAAAAGGAAAAAAGGCAACCAAGTGCTGATGGTCTAGGGACACACACTGTCCCAACGGCTAGTCTCTTTATGCCACCTCCTAAGTTAAAACAAAGCTCTGACCTTCTCCAGGAAGCAGCTTCTACATATTTAGGAGAGCAAAGACGGAGAAAATGTCCCCGCAACAGACACCTGCAAGACTCACTAAGCCAAGTAAAGGCCGGAGCAGAACAAGAGCGCACCCTAGTGGGCACAGCAAGAAGTCCACCTGCAGAGGAACAGCAGGAGCTAGGAGCTCTTTCCTGCTGTGTCCCTTGGTGTTCTGCATCCTTAGGGAGGAGTTCTCCTGGTTACCACCAGTGGCCTAACATCATTCTTTCCTCCTGCCTTCTTGGCTCTTAAGTTCTTCCGCTAAAGAGAGAACACGAAGCAGGAGGATGAGTATAATTCAACTCAACTTTCTGACTTAAAAAACCCAGCCAACAGAAGATGCTGACCGACCACGTGTAATTGGAAGAATCAGCTTCTTCATTACACAGCGGACGTTCACACCACTTCTGCTTCCAAGGGGCAGGTCTAGTGCATTACTAATGGTGAAGCTAGCACACTTTCTCCCTAGGGACTTGTTCTCCCAACAAATACTTCCTTGGGTGCTCTTCCAATCCCTCCTGACAACCCCACAAGCTAGGTACCAGAGGAAGGAACTGAGGCACAGGTGTAGTAAGCAGTGCCAGGTTCACACTGCTGGAGTACGGCTGGTGCAGACCCTCGCCCAGACACTCTGCTCTAGAACCCACTCTGCTAAACTGACCCTTCCTGCCTTGAATGCCACCACATGGCATATCCCAGTTACTCTTGGTCTCTTAACATCATAAGACACTGCCTTTTCTCCAATCTGCCTCCTCTTAATCTCTCACACAACCTTAGTACTTCACCAAGCCTGGACGAGAACTCTGGTCTGATAACTCATCTCTACATGGCTCACTGGCCTTCACCTAGGGCCCCACTTGACTCCTACACCATCAATTCCTGGCACAAGCTACATGTTCCTGTCACATAGCCTCTCAGCCTGGCCCTAAGTAAGTGAGGATCAAAGTTCAGGTCTAGAGCAGATGACCCAGGGTTCCTAGCTTGGTGCTGTAGCTTCTGGTGAACTGCTTAACTCTTCTGTCCCACATCCTCTCTGTAACTACCTCATCCAATGGGGACTGATGAGACTTTCCAACACTTGGCACAGTATTTAGATTACACCTGGATGATAAGGCTCAGGCACAGCTAGAAGAAGCATCACCCTTTGTGCCCACTGGACCTGCTCTTCCTCTAGCTGAACCAGGACATGCCATCCCAGCATGCTTCCACACAGCTCTGCCAGGTTTACCACAGCTCCCCTGGAGGACTCCACGTCCCACAGCATGCTGCCTGTGGGATGAGGCAGATGAATATGGGTAAACTGAGTCATTACCCCAAATGTTTAGAGACCACAAAAGCTAAGGAGGCTGCAGGCATGATCCTGGAGGGAGCGGCTCCAGAGATGAGGTCTTGTTTCCAAGCAGCCCCGAACTCATCAGCTGCAAGCCTCCCCCAGCTCCAGCAGACAGTGGAATGCACACAGGAGCTGCTGGGTAAGCAACCACTACTCCTGCGGGAGGCAGAGAAGCTCACACTAAAATCCCCACAGGGCGTACCCTAAGGTTTTCCTCCCTACATGTCTCACAAAGCTCATACCAGCATGCCTCGGGTGGCCAGGAGTAAAGGACAGGTAAGGGGGCACAGGAGGCCATGGAGGGGACAGGTCAGAAGGGGATAGGTGGCCATGAAGAGGGCAGGTAGGAAGGGCTAAGGTGACCATGGAGGGGGCAGGCAGGAAAGGCACAGATTATATGATGGGAATGGGTTGGAAGAGCATAGGTAACCACAGAGGAGACAGGTTGGAAGGGCACGTGGCCAGGGAGGGGACAGGTAGGAAGGGGAGAGGGAGGAAGGGCACAGGTGGCTAGGGTGGGGACAGGTGGGAAGGGCACAGGAGGCATGGAGGAGACAGGGAGGATACAGGTGGCCATGGAAGGACAGGTAGGGAGGGCACAAGAGACCGGAGGGTGGAGGTAGGACAGAGGGCTTATATTCAGTGAATGCCACGCAGGGTACCTGGGATCATTTTGATAGCTGTGTTCACTTCACTCCATTTGTGCACCTGGTCAAACTTCCAGTCCAGGATAAAATTACCATTATCCGTCACCACAGGACCCTAAAAGATAAGTGCCACACAGACCAAGAATGAGGACACAAGTAGGAAAGAAGGAGAGCAAGTAAAGGTGATGGCCACAGACGTCTGCCAGGGGGTGCCATCGCCCGCTCGGTGCCCTCAGAGGCAGTGCTGAGGTACAGTAGTGAGCAGGAGCTCTGCAGGTAACACCCGGCTGTCGCAATGCCAGGAGGGCGCAGAACCCAGGGAGCAGCCAAGACTCGAGTGTCTGGAGTGTGCAGAAGGCAGCTTCTGTGTGCTTGCAATGCATGGGCACCTACCACGCACCAGCTCAGCAAGCCCCAGCTCCCCGGACAGACAGTGAAAACCCAGAGAGCAGGGCCAGCTGCGCCCTAAGTACCAACAGTAATGAAATAAGACGCTACTTCAGCCTCACGACCCGACCCCACCCCATCAAGAAGCCCCAGGGAAAGACCAGGAGCAGAGACAAGGTCGGAGGTCAGATAGCAGGGAGTACTTTTAGTTAATTAGCCCAGAATTCCTTCATAGCCTCAACACTAGGACAGCAAGAATATGTCTAGGACACAGATGTTGACAGCAGGTCATAGGAAGGAGTCCAGGATTGACTCCCTAGACTGTAGGAGGGCTGGAGCTCAGCTGGGAGCAACGAAGGAGGCTGGGCTTCGAGAGCACCTATGCGCTCTTCCCAGCGTCTCAGCTTCTGAGTGCCCGTGGCCAAAGAGCCTGGACAACCATGGTGATGAGAGTGGTTTTTACAAAGCCAAAAATATCAAAATAAAAATGCATCAGGGTAGGGCTGCAGATCGTTTCTCTACCTTCCAGACTTCCTACATGGTTATACACACACCTATCGCTAATTCTTAAAAAAAAAAAAAAAAGTTCTTGGCAATCTATTTCAGAAGATGGAGAAAAACCTCTGGACTGAAGTGCCTAGAGTGCACTCCTGAGGGGTGGGGTGTTGCCGTCCCCCAAGAAAGTCCACCTCTTGTCCCACTTGTAATGCAGACAAGAGAAGAGAGGAAATGTACACCATGGAGCCTGGAAAACAGGCTGCGCCCTGAGGAGGAGGGCTTCCCGAAGGCCATGTGTGGCATCTGTTCACCAGGGTGGTCCAGGCCTCAGGTATCCAGATCAGAGCACTGAGGGATGTCAGATCCAGGGGCACAGAGAGAACCACTGCCCTCTGTACAGGGACATACACAGCAGTAAGTTCCGTGTTCACCTACATGAGACTACGTAGAAACTAACAAGGCCAAATCCTGAAAACCAGCTGATTAAAGATAAAGCTCCAAGGGGCTGGGCTGGGGCTCAGGGGCAGAGCACCTGCCCAGCATGTATGAGGCACTGGGTTCAACTCTCAGCACCAACATAGAAATAAACAAAGGTTTTTAAATAGATAAATAAATAAAGCACGAAGCCAGGCACAGTGTTGCATGCCTATCATCCCAGTGGCTCGGGAGGCTGAGACAGGAAGATTGCAAGTTCAAATCCAGCCTCACCAAAAGCAAGGTGTAAGCAACTCAGTGAGCCCGTCTCTAAATGAAATACAAAATAGGGCTGGAATGTGGCTCAGTGGTAGAATGCCCCTGAGTTCAATCCCGGTACAAAAAAATAAAAAATGAAGCTCCAGGCCCAAGTGGAGGGAAAAGAATAGTGCCCAGAGACTGGAGACCTCCAGGAGCCTCCCTGGTCACCTACCGCCTTGTTGACAGCCATCCGAAGTTCAACGGCACCACCAAACTTCCGGGTCACAGCTCGGCTGACAGGGACATAGGCCATGGGGATGACTTCAATAGGAATTCCCTTGTGCCACTGTTCCCCAAGGTTCTTTGAATCTTTCCTGGGAAGGAAGAGCCAAAAAAAGCACAATAAAAATAAATAAGCTCAACAGTACAAACCCAAAATTCAGGAATCCGTGATGGAAGGACAAAAGAGTAACCAGGGACAGTACACACAAGGCTTCAAAGGCACTAGCAGTCCTACTGTTTAAGAGATGTCTGAATTCAGTGTGACAGAAGGAAGGTTAATTCGATATAACTGGCTTGTTGACTACAAGTATCTACTCTTAGGTGTTCATTACAAGAGCACGGTGTCCATCACTGACGTCCTCCTACGACTACAGTACCTCTACAGTACCTCATAAGTAAAAGCATAGTTCTTGTTTTTATTAACATGCTACACAAGTGTCTCCTCCCAGACTCCCAGATGGAGCGTCTGAGAGCCTGGCCAAAGAAGGCACAGCATGAGTCACATATGTCAGCCCTGACCCCAGAGGGAATGCTGACTCACAGCAATGGGCAGGGCTCGCCCTGTCCCTGAAGCTCCCTGTGAGGACGAGCTCCGCCAGCAACTGGGGACACATGGTCCCTTTGCCCACCCAAGCACTGGAAATGGCACTGGAGATCCTAGCTCAGTTAAGAACATGTGGCAGGTCAGCTGCATCCACCTCTGCACACAGGCAGGACACACGCCCTCTGGGATGGTGCCTCAAGTCCTGGCGCAGCTCAGAACTCTGCATGCTGTACCTGAAGTCGGCGACCACGATGAAGCGACTGGCATAGCCAGCCACAATCTTCTCCTGCGTCAGGCAGCCCCTGCAGGTGGGAAGGGAGGAGGGGAGCAAGTGAGCGGGGCAAGGCAGCGCTCAACCTGGGGAACTAAGGTCAGGCACAGGAACCCCGGATCCCCCAGTCCTGGCACATCAAAAGAAATCCCACTTTTAACCTTTAAAGAGCTGTCCTCAACCCCATCAGGCTGCTGCTAGCAACGGGATCACAAAAATGTTAGCCTGTGTCTGGGAGAAACCCAGAGTGGATACCCTTCCAGGTTCGGGCCAGGCAGAATTCCACAAAGAGGCACCTGAGAGGAAGCACTGCTTTTAGGGAGTTGTTGTCTGCACCTTGCCTAAGAAAAGTGAGCTCTGAGCAACCTGCCCTGTGGACCACCTGACAATTAGGGAGACGGACTCTGAAGATCTGGGCCCAGCCCATCTCTACAGCTCACCAGCTGAATCACCTCACACTGGCAAGTAGGAGGAGGACACAACACCTGGAGAGCTGAGACTATTAAAGCATGATTCTGAACAAACGCCTAGTCCTGCAATCGCTTAAGTAACTATTAAGTAAGAACAAGCAGAACAGACATCACCTGTGCCACTCACATTCCCACTCCTCAAACCAGCACTTCAGAAAAACCCTACAAATGTTTTCCAAATAAAGGAACAGCATTCCTAGCTGCTCTCATACATGTAAGGGCAGCTTTAAAGCAAAGTCCACACACTGATGTCTGCAGACCTAATAGTATAAATCAATAATATGCTAGTTTAGCCTGACAGTTATTAAAGTCTGAATCAGAGAACACAGATACACAGAGAACCCACGATGATGGGGTCATCTCACTGAAGAGGCTCAGGTTCCAGTCACCAAGAGGACACTAATGACCAGAAACGCCAGGCTGGCTTGAAGGTCCTATGACATCCAGGCCAGGTCTTGGTAGAGAGACAGGCTCGCACACATCACAGTAACAACTGATCCCTGTACTCCATCTGGCTTTGCTGAGGACCAACTGGCAAGTAGTCTTTAGCAAGGAAGTCCCCATGACACTCACCCACCACCCTTGATGAGGTTGAGATCAGCATCCACTTCATCAGCTCCATCAATGGCAAGGTCAATCTGTGGTGGGCAGAGGGAGACACAACAACCACTAAGAGCCCCAGGGGCTGGCACAGAGGTGCTATGCCAAGGCTGACCCTGTAACAGCAGCCCAGTAGCCAGGCCCAGCCTTCCCAAGTAGTCTACCAAGAAACTGAGGCTCCAAGGTCAATGAGCCACTTCACTTGGGTCACAAGCCTGGGACACAAACCATGGTCCATCATCTCTCACCCATGACATTACACTTGCTTTTCTGGTGGACGGGCCTCTGTGGACAACATGGAATTATGCATAGTGTGCACTCTGGTGAAGGTAATGTCACTCCCACCAAAGGAAAGATGGCTGGGGCAAGGGGGCACAGGCAAAGAAATCTGATATTAAAATTTTGGGCCTTCCAAAGCCCACAAGCACATAAACAGATACACAGCATATCTGTAGTACTACATTCCATGGGGGGAGTCAATTATGAAAAATAGAGCTGAGAAAAGCTGGGTCAGAAGTTGGTACCAAGTCTGGGGATGTGGCTCAAGCGGTAACGTGCTCTTCTGGCATGCACGGGGCGCTGGGTTCGATCCTCAGCACCACATAAGAATAAAAAAAAATATGTTGTGTCCACCGAAAACTGAAAAATAAATATTAAAAAAAAGTCCAGCGGACAAGATGAAATGAAGGGAGCTGTGGAAGTCGCCAAAATTCACCATGCTCCAGAAATGACCTGAGGCATTCCCGCTAGGCCCCAAGCCAAGGCCAAGCCAACCCCCACCAACCCAGGCTGTCTGAGCCAAACAGATTCACTCAAACACCAAACACCAAAACCACACAGCAGCACACAAGGACACATTTTATTTGTGCTGCAGTTGCTTGCTGTGGTTTGTGAGGCCAGGCTTAACACACCAAGTGTCCTGCAGGGCATCATGTTCCCATCCTTCCACACCTGTCTGCAGCTGCAACTTATGCTGCTCCCCCACCATGCACCAGTGCTGAGGCTGCGCGGTGGCAACTCTTCTCTGCCTGGACTTGGACCCACCTTTGGCCCAAAGCCTTCCCCTCACAGCTGCTCAACAGCTGGCTCTGCCTGGGCCCCACTCTGCTGCAGAAACTCCCAACGAGCCATTCCCACATTATTAGTAACCCGAGACCACATTAAGTCCCCATCCACTTGCCCTGCGATGTACCCATGTGTTTCATTTTTTCTGTCCAAACCACCCCAGAAAGTCTGGGCTTTGTCCACCTGTGCCTACATGTCCGTGGTTCCTGCCTACCCTTCAGGGAGGGCCTACTCTGTCCCTGCCACAGAATCTTTCCAGCTCAGCTCAAACTCTCCCCAGCCCAGAACTCTTCTAACACTGTTGACCCAGTGGCAAACACCTGTAATCCCAGCGACTTGGGAGGTTGAGGTAGGAGGACTGTCAAGTTCAAAGTCAGCCTCAGCAACTTAGTGAGGCCCTAAGAAACTTAGACCCAGTCTCAAAATAATAAATAAAAAGGGCTGGGGATGTGGCTCAGTCATTAAGCACCCCTGAGTTCGATCCCTGGTACCAACCACCCACACTCCTCCCCCACCCCGAAAGAACCTCTTCTAACAGTTTTAGAGCCTAATGTGCCTGAGCTCTGGCTATGCCACCTTCTGTATACCTTAAGCATACTTGAGCTTTCCTCTCTACTTTTTCACATCCATAAAGTGTACTCTAGAGTTCTAACACAGAAACAGCACCTGGCACACAGCTGGTACATGTTCAGACAGTGCCAGCCAGGAAGACACCTGAGCTGCCTACTCCCAACTTCAGTCTCCTTTCTGCTGCTGTGTTGGTCAGTCTTCACCACAACACTTCACTTGGTGAGTTTTCAAATGTCTGTGGCTGTCACAGATAGGACATCCCTCACTTAAGGGGTAAGGTGCACTCTTGGAAGAGCCTCTGTACGAGAAAGGATTCTCAGAAAGCCCAGATGCAGCCCTGGGCTCGTCCCACTCCCCTCCACTGCACTCATGGGGAGCCCTCAGGGTAACTAGCCTGCACTATACCAGTACTGGACACTAACCACCTCTCCACTTATGACCCCACCCAGGATTAACATTCAAATCCCAGGAGAAAAGTCAGCATGACTAACTAACCTAAGTCACCTGGAGCCCATGAATAAGCAGCCACAAAGGAGACCCACTCTCTTACCTCTGGGTGCCGGTCCAGATCACTGAGGGTTAGGCCATACTGCAAGATGAGCTGCCGGGCCTGGGAAGATAGAAGATAGCACCCTAATCATTTTCTTAGAGTCTCAGGACACTTGGATATAGTGTTAAAGAGTGAGGCCTGACCCAGTATCCCTCTCAAATCCCGACCTCCCACCAAGAGGCAGGAGAGCAGCCCACAAATGGCAAGGCAAGTGCCGATGCATCCTGGGAGCTGGAAAATGGCGACGGGGAAGGCGTGGCTCCAGCAGAGCTAGAGGCTCCTCCTCACCAACTGGCTCCATGAAATGAGACCACAGCCTCCTAAAACTTCTGGCAGGGCAGCTCATAAACAAATCCCGATGATAGGATCCAAATCCACAAAATACTAAAAAAGGTTTTAGAACAATCCAATGTATGAAAAATTAAGATTACCATGACTTGACAAGAGTGACCGCCAGGCCAAAGTGTCAAGTAAAACCAGGCAAAATGCACCCACTCAGAAGAGCTCGCAGAGGTGAGGCTTCACGAATGGCCAAGGGAGGGGCTTGGCAACAGAGCACCAGAGGAGAGATTTGAGATGTCTGTGAAAAAGTACCACCTGCTTTAAAGGCTTCCCTCACAGGTAACCTTTTAAAAGGCCAGCACAAGAGGAGAGCAGTGGTCACTGAGCTGAGCAGGATGCCTAGCTAAAATAACGGTGTTATGAAGCTTCCCAATCAGCCACCCAGGACCAGGATGAGGTTTTGTTCACCTAACTGCTTACAAAACAGAGAAACCAAGGACAGAAACTTCCCCAAAGGTGTCCCTTTAAAATATTCTCTACTTAAAGTGGAAAGCACCTAGCGTTCAGCTGCAGAGAAGGGGTCTTCTAAGCCTTGGGAGGAACGTCAGTTAGTACAGCAGCTGTGAACACCACATGCAGGTTCCTCCAGACAAAACTGTTGCTACGAACCCAGTCAGGGTCACTCCAGGTGAACTGGGCTGCACGAAATAATCCCACAGAGACAGAGAAATACCTTTTCCTTTGGGTTCTGTGATGGTACCTCTGACCCAGCTCCCACAAAGCAGGTAAGGCAGGCAAGTAAGAGGAAGAGCATGCCTCAAACCCGGGTTTAATGGGGAGGCCATTCAAATGAGGCAAGGGGTCAAGTTTCGCGGGGTTGTTTAGCTTCCTGATGTCTCACAGGTCAGCAGGTTGACTGACATCTAGGAAGGCCACGCATATCTCATGTGCTGTGTGATGATCAAAGGCAAAGCCAGCAAAAGGGATACCTACGTGCACAGCCCAGACAGAGCTGCATCCTCAGGCCAGTCCACTCTGTGCGCTCAAATTACTCACAGCTCACACACTCAGCCCACGGCTGGCTCGCCACATCTTCACATTCCCATTGTTCAAAGCTACAGGGCGCTCAGCTCCTACCTGGCAGCTCCTGACACTTAACACAGAACGACTACATGACCAGCGATCCCCATCCAGGTCTGTCCCCACCAGTGGAGTCACACAAGACACCCCCACATTCCCATGCTCACATGACACAGAATCACCTGTGAGTCTGACAACAGACAAAGCCGTGAAGAGAATGTGGTTAGGAATATCATTTGGCCAAAAAAAAGGGAAGGAAATTCTGTCTATTATGGCAACATAGATGGAACTGCAGCACAAGATGTTAAGTGAAATAGCCAGGCAATTTCAGGACAAACGTCACAAGTTCTCACACATGTGAAGCTAAAACAGCTGGTTTCAGATGGATTCTCGGCTGAATCTCAGCTAAACCTTTAAAGAACTAATGCCAATACTTCTCAAATTATTCCATGAAATAGAAAGGGATGGAACACTTCTGAATTTGTTTTATAAAACAAATCACATCACACTCACACCAAAACAGATAAAATACATCAAGGAAATGATAGACGAATATCCTGATGAACTTAGATGCAAAAACACCTAATATTAGCAAATTGCATTCAACAACATATTAATATTACTACACAACAACCAAGCTGGTTTTATTCCAGAGATGCAAGGATGGTTTAACATGAAAAACAATAAATATAATTAATCACATAAACAGAATTAAGGACAAAAACCACTTGGATCATCTTAATACATGCAGAGAAGACCTCTGACAAAATACACTACCCACTCATGAGAAAAAAATAATAAATAAAAACCACTGAGGAAACTAGGGATAAACAGAACCTATTTAAACAGCATAGAGGCTAGATATGAAAGACTCAAAGCCAACCTCAGAGGAAAGGGGGAGAAACTTAAAATTCTTGGTCTTAGTGGCTGTTGGTGAATTCTACGTGTTCTTCCAACATGACTTGTAGAGCCTCAACAGGGAATTCTGAAATCTGTCACATCAGTACCCCGTTTGTTAACTGCCTCATTAAAGTTGACGTTTTCCTAGTTCTTGGTGTGATGATTCTCAATTGAAATCTGGACACTTGGAGTCTCTTGAGACTCTGGGCTTATTTAAACCTATGTCAGTGTGCTTCCTCTTACTAGGCTCTGGAAGAAGTCAGGGTACCATCCAGTCACCACCAGGTAGGGACAGGAGACCAGGTGCACAGCACGCCTCCTGGAGATGGGAGGCTCCTCGTTAGGGTGGGGCAGAGGTGGCCATCAGGTTTCTACGAGACCTCTACTGGCCTCCTCATGGAAAAGGCAGGAGTGCATTGCTACTTCCTATGGGGCTTCCAAGGTAAAATAGCCCCCTGGCCAGTGGACAGGGCCCTGAACCTCCCTCCAGGCCTCCTGTGTCATCAGCCCTGCAGAGAGGGGCACCCTGTGTCAGGTTGTGGAGATCCAGGCCACTGACATGGTCCCCGAGTCTGCAGGGCAAAGGGACAGGACAGAGGCCTCCTTACAGCCCAGGAAGGACAAAGCCCTGGCTACCACTCATCACCCCTCTGCCAGCCCACAGAGGGATCAGCTCTTGATCACATCCTGGGCTCCCCAGCATGGGCATCCATGGGGTTTGACTGACACAGTCCCCATCTAAAAGTTTTCCAGCTTCCCAGGCTGCCTGTCTGTGTCCTCTGGGCAGAGCGAGCCACCAGCATTGGGCTTTTTGCCTGTGCCCGAGGTGTTTCTGGGACACCAGCTTCTCCAGCATCAAGTCTGGGATACACAGAGTAAAAAGAAACCTTCACCCCTGCGTGGTTCCCTGTATCCCCACTTCTCGGAGCCTCTTTCTTTCTGCATAATGTTCACTCTGGGAGGAGTGGGCAGCTACTGAAGACCAGGAACTAGCCTGGCCTTTAGGGGGAAGGTCACACTTTTAAGTGAGGTTAACCAGTGAGGTCATCAAAGTAGTCAGGGGTTTTCACAAGCTGGTATTTCTCTCTAATCACAGCAAAAGCTAACAGTGTCTTATATGTATTAAGCAACCATTTTGTGCCTCTAGAAAGCAGAACTCCCTTCCCAGGAACCCAGCCCCTGGCCACTAGGGGGCGGAGTCTAGAAACAGCAGCTCTGCCTGGGCCACCTGGTGGACAGGATCCTCCTGGGGAGCAACAGGTGGCATTGGGTGACCCAAAGCTGCTATTTCTCCATGAAGCATCATTTTTATTTTTTTTAACCTTTATTTATTTATGTATATATGATGCTGAGGATTGAACCCAGGGCCTTGCACGTGCTAGGTGTGTGCTCTACCACCAAGCCACAACCCCAGTCCCAGCATCAACTTCTTAATAATTAAATATTCTGCTGCAAGCATTGCTGTGATCCCCAAAGCTTGGCCTTGTGCCTAATGCTACTCCCATAGCTAGGACAGGTTTGGAGAAGAAGCAAGAGGTCTTAATAATTTGCTAGCAAAGGAGAAACGCAGGTTGAGCAGATGGCAGGTTTGAGGACGGGTGCACTCTGCACCAGTTCCTCAACTCATGACTTAAAAAGCCGGCAAACTGCTCCTAGGCAAGGTGGTAACTATGAGAAATCACTGGAGTCAACACTGGGCAGCAAAATAATCATGGAGACACAAAGTCAGAAACTCTGATCATAATATTAGAAATAATGGCATCAGTGCCACCAGCCCACTGCTGAGGGGAGGGGAGTACAGGCAGAGAGAGGGGAAAGCAGGTGAATAAAACTCGCTTGGAGTCAGGTGTGATGGCACACACCTGTAATCCCAGAGGCTCGGGATGCTGAGGCAGGAGGATCACATGTTCAAGGCCAACCTCAGCAACTTATCGAGGCCCTAAGCAACTTAGAGAGAACCTGGGGATGTGGCTCAGTGGTTGAGGGCCCCTGGGTTCCATCCCTGCTACAATAAATAAATAATAAAGCCTGGCTTAGAGGAACCTGTGTAACAGAGAGGGACCCAGAAGTGGCGGTGGAAGCTGTTGCCTGAAAGGTAATGAAAATCATTTGGCTGGTAGTGCCAGCTGCAGGAGTCCCCTGACACCTGACCTTCCAGCACAGATTGGCCCTCTCCAGCAACAGAAAGTGTGGGTCAAATCTCACCCACCAAACAGTCCAGCATTAGCCAAGTCAAACCCCAGCACTGGAACTTCAGTAGACTTCTGCACCAGCCCCCCAGGGAGCACCCACCAGATCAGGCACCACCCAGCAGGTGTGTGCCACGGCACCCAGCCGCCAGCCTCCATATCCTGCCCTGGAGATGGGAAGCTGGGAGCTACTACCACCAGCACTGGCTCCTGGCCACAACGGGGACCTGGCACCAAAGATGCTGGACTTGGCAACCCCAGTCCTTGACCAAGGGTTACAGGGCCCCAAACTCAATACAGAGAATGAAACTCCACCCTCGCCAACAGTTCTGATCACCTCCATGGAAACAAGCCCTGTGTTTCTCATTGAGGACTCTTTCCCAATTCTCTTTTCTTTTCTTTTTTTATTATATTTTTAAATTTTCTGTTCTTTTTTTAAATTTTTGTTTGTTTGGGTTTTTTTTTTTTTTCCATTCTGTACAATTGTATGTGTGTGCCCACAAGTCTGTGCATGGGGGCGCTCTCACTGTGTGGATAGGTTAGACTATATATACATGCATGCGTGTACACACATATACACACACACACACATAAACACACAGAGTTTTT